AAAACAGACACACAAACCAATGGAACTGAATAGAATGCCTAGAAGTAAATTCATGTATCTRTAGCCAATGAATTTTTTACAAAGGTGCAAAGTCTTTTTTAATAAATGTTGTTGGGAGAATTGGGTATCCAATTTTATGCAGAAGAATGATACAATCTCTATCTCTAATCAGTCACAAAGATTATCTCATGCTATATTAAAGATTTAAATAAAAGACCTTAAATTATGAAACCACTAGAAGAAAGCAGAGGAAATGCTTTAGGACCTTGGACTGGGTAAGGATTTTTTGTCCTAGACCCTCAAAACACAGGAAATGAGAGCAAAAATAATCAAATGGGGTAATATAAAACTAAAAAGCTTCTGAACATCAAAGAAAACTCTCAACAGAGTGCAGATGCAACCTATATAATGGGGAAGATGTTTGCAATGTATACAGCTGACAAGGGGTTTATATCTAGAACATACAAGGAACTCCAAAAACTCAATAGCAAAGATCAGATAACTCAATTTTAAAAATGGACAGTAGATCTAAATAGACATTCCTCAAAAGAAGACATACAAATGGCCAACAAGTGCATGAAAAATGACTCAACATCACTAAGCACTGGAGAAATGCAAATTAAAACCACAGTGAGGTATGACTAATACCTCAACCAGTAAGAATGGCTAATATCAAGAAGACAAAAGGTTAACAAGTGCTGGCAGGGATATAGARAAAGGGGAATTCTCTGAACACTTTTGGGGGGAATGTAAATCAGCTATTATGGAAAACAGTATGGAGTTGCTTAAAAAATTTAAAATAGAATAATCATATGATCCAACAGTTACCCTTTGGGTGTATAATCCAAAAGAAATGAAATCAGTATRTCAAAGAAAAATCTATAGTTCCATGTTTACTGCAGCACTATTTACAGTAGCCAAGAAATGTAAACAACCTAAGTGTCTGTCCGCTGATGAACAGATAAAGCAAATGTGTACACGTGCATGATAGAATACTATTCAGCCATAAAAAATGAAATTCTGACATTTTCAACAACATGGATTGAACTGGAGATCATTAYGATAAGTGACACAAAGCAAGCATAGAAAGACTGGTGTCACATATGTGGATTTGTCTTCATATGTGGAATCTAAAAAAACGTTGATTTCATAGAAGTTGAGAAGAGAATGATGCTTACCAGAGGCCAAGAATAGTAGGTAGGGCAGCAGGAGGGATTGTGAAGAGTTGATCAATAGATCTAAGACTCAGATAGGACTCACTGGGTTACTATTGCATGGTATGGTGACTATAGGTGTAGTATACATTTCAAAAAGCTAGAAGAAAGGATTTTGAAAGTTTTCACTGCTAAKAAATGATAAATGTTTGAAGAAATAAATATGGTTAGCCTGATTTAAACATTATACGATGTATATGTGTATCAAACATTACATAGTATCTCATTAATATGTACATCTTTTATGTTTTTATGTATTAGTAATTTTTTTTTTTAATTTGGAGGAGGATTTCTCATTTGGCCAATGATRGAACTTTTCTGGATCTTGATTGTGATGGGGGTTTATAAGACTACATACATTTGTCAAAATTCACAGATGAGTTTTATATATGTAAACTTAAAAATTAAAAATATGAAAATGTTCCTAATATTTTACTTCAGACTTTATAGATAATTCAGTAGAGCTTGTTTGGAGCCTACAAGTAAGAAAAGAGTTAATGATTAGTAGTTTATTGGAATCATATTTCTAGTCAACCTTTGTTGCTGTCTTTGGGAGGCACATTTTTTTTTTTCGAGCATTAATCCAGGAAAAAATTGACATTACTGTAGTGTCCGTCAGTAGGGAATTGGTTAAGTGAATCACAGCATGTTTAATGAAATTTATATAGTCATTTAAATTTTTTTTAAAAGGGGACAGAAAAGTTAGTGCTATGGGGAGTGTTTGGATAGATTAATCAAGGCATGGGCAGATGAAGATATTCTGGGGAGTTGGCAAAGATCCACTTCTTGATAAGGGTGGTGCTTATAAAAGGGTTCAGTAACATTAAGCTTTACATTTGTTTCATGTGGTTTTCTGCATCTATGGTATGTTTTACCACCAGAAAGTCTTTAAAAAGAAAAATTATAAAAAACTATTTAATYAGGACTGGGTTTATGGTAGAGCACTTGCCTAGCATGTGTGAGGCACTGGGTTTGATCCTCAGCACCACATAAAAATACATAAGTAAAGTTATTATGTCTATCTTCTGCTAAAAATATTTTTTTAAAAAAAATATTTATTTAAGGAAAATGTACATCTGTGACCCTACCACCCATCCAAAGAACTGGAACATTACTAATAAGACATATCTACCAGAGGTAATTGACACCTGCATATTGTGCTTTGTCTTATATGTATGTGTATGCTTAAGTAATATATTATTTATAAAAATGATATTGTGCTATATACCATATTTCTGGGCTTGACTTTTTTTTTAGGCTCAACATTATGCAATTCACATAGATAGATGCAGTGGCATGTTTTTGTAATTAATTTATTTGCTCACAGTATAATATTCTATTTTGTTCATAATCCATAATTTCCTTATCTATTTTCCAGAATGCCTGGTTGTTTTTTTTTATTTGAAATGATGAAATGCTGCTATAAGCATTATTTTTAAAATTTAAAATAGAAATGTATGCAGAGAGAGTAYTAGGGCATTATATTGACATAATTCAAATATGGTGTTTTTCCTTTTCAATGAAGAGTGCAGGTGGAAGGTTGCACCAGGAACAATGAAGCAATGGGGTCTTTAGTGTGGCCACCGAAGGTATGACTCTCCCAGGAGCAGGATGTGGTAGCCTGACTGCTCTCATATGCTTTTTTAAGGGTTTCTTTTATTTTCAAAATCATATTTTTACTAGACAAATAATTCCTAAATTCATTTTTTTTGCTTAAAAGTTTTAAAATGAGTAAACATGATGGATAAAATTGTCCTTTCTACAGCATCCCAGATCTTTTTTCCTTTACCAGAAGTAAACACTCAGATTCTTTGATTTCTAGGTGTTTCAGTTTTCTTTCTCCTTTGAAATGCAAACTCTTTAATTAGGGAGATGTGAAATGACAAGGTTTTAAACCAACTCCTGAGGAGAAGGCATTCTMAAATTAAGGCATTCAATGTTTGTCTGAACTGAAATTATCGGCAGTGTGGAAAGCAGAGTAAAATTCTGAGTTTGTGGAAAATCAAGGAAGTAATGATTTTAACTTCTTTTGGGTTAATTTTTCAACTATCATCCATATGTTTTACTTTTTGAAATTTTCAGAATGAACTTTCAATAGATATCTATATTCAGATCTATGTACAAAATCCATTCCCAAGTTGGAAGACTTATGAATTTGTCTTCCATATTTGCTTACCGCCATTGTTGTAGCCTAGTAAAGTAGAAAGGACAATAAATCTGTTGAAATATTTCATGTGCCACCAAACTATGTAATTTTAAGAAAATTAAATAACATTGGTAAATTGCCTAGCATAGTGTCAGGTATTTAGTTCATGTCCTTAGTAAATATGATCTCTATTCCCTATAYCCTTTAGTATACCTAATGGAGAGCTAGTGCCTTCTCATTGCCTTGGGCTGTTTCTTAAAAAGAAAAATCCTTTCTCTTCAAAAAGATCAATGATGGATTAAAAATGTCTATCTCTTTTTTTTTCCCCCCTAGGAGAAAAGACCAAAACAAAACAAAACAAAAACAAAAACACCATTGGGCATTTAAACTACAAACCCACAGAGGTTGCACAATCCCCAAGCTTTCACCTGAAGCACTCAATCCTCTCAGGGGACAGGGAACTCTAGTTTCAGACCCTTCTTTTGAACTTTGGTCACACTAGTTACTTTATGAAACTTGAAGCCCTTTAGTATAAAGCGGGTGCTTGCACCTTTTGCATGTCTCTAAAATCCCAGCCAAGTAGGATTCCTTGCAAAGGAAACAAAGAGCTTCTTTAGCTTGTACTGCTGGTTCAGGGTAGGAGGAGGCAGAATATTTGAGTCTTCCTTTGAGAAGGGTGCCAAATCTATGTTTCCAGGACCAGAAAAGGCTGGGCAGCCCAAGTAAGGGAGTAGAACATAGCTGAGAAAAGAACCATCTGGGGCCACCTGGACTGGGAAAGAAAGCTCTTCAAAAGGTTATCAAGTGCCARAGGATTATTTGTCAACCAAGAGCAGAATGTTAGGTGATTTCCATGGGATTAGGGCTGCTACCACCAAGGACTTTATCCCCCTTTCCACCTCCTTCTTTCTCTCTTACCTCCTGTCATTTGACCAAAATAATGCACTCCTGATCCTTACTGCACACTGTAAGGGTCTGAAGTCGGCTTGCCAGGAAAACAATCAGTTCTTAAATGGCTCCTTTCCACTTGCCCACATCCTTCAGTAGATGACCCATCTTCAAGTCTAAAGGCAGAACCTTCAGATGCATTGTTCACTGGGGCTTTAGGAAGACTCTGAGTTTTCAATTCAAGTAGTCCACATTAAGGTAAGAATGACCAAAGGCTGCTGCTGTTGCATTTTAAAAGAGCAACTCACATGAAAGTATAATAATAGGTAGAATGTCTTCGAGAGACTCTGCACTAATAAAGTCCTCTAGATGTTTTGGACCTTGTCTACTCACTCTCCCTGCCACAAGGGAAGGAGAAAGCCTCTTGGCATTTCACCTTTAAAGAAACTCAGTCGCTGATCTCTAGTATCAGTTCAGATGCAAGTGGCCTGAGTAGTCATGCCTTCTTRTCATTACTCTTATTGGATAATGCAGATGGATGGATCAATATCCTCAGTCCCCATTTTCATAAGACAGGGACATTAGAATACACAAGCCACCCTGACACAATTCTTTTGCTTGAAGCAGCCAGTGATCATACTTCCCCTCAAAGAAAGCCTTCAGCCTGAGGACCACAGGCTCATTATTGGCCTGAGTGAGGGGCCACTACCTGCTCCCCTCCAGGACCCGTCCCTCCCTTTGTCTTTTCTTACCTGCTGCCTGATGAAGCTGCGATCCTAGGTTCAACATTAGCAGGAGGAAGAACATGTTCTGTATTTGATCTGAAATAGACAATTGAAAGTTTCAGAGCCTAACACAGTCTTCCTGGGCCTCATGATTTGGTGATTTGCTTACTCCGGAGAATAGGGTAAAGACTCATAAATAAATATTTTGGGGGAAGGCATAAACGGCAGGGGAGCGGAACTGCAAAGAGAAGTTGTAGTTTGACTGTCTGGAGGATAGGGGATGTAGCGTAGAAGGAAGTGAGACAGTCTTTCTCAGTCCAAACCAGAAGCTATTCTTCCTATTCTAATGGCTTTTTCTGAAGATGAACCAGTTTTCGTGAGTAGCCCACACTGGTGGTTATCTGCACCTCTTTGTGTCTGCCACAAAACTTTACATCATACTTCTCATCCCCCCAATAGCAGGCCCTCAAATACCAGAAGTGTCTTGTCAAGTGGATAATGCACACCACCTTCTCTAGCTGGATTGGAAATCAGGGAATTGGATATTTGAGAACAGGGTTTGGTAGAAACAGAGCTGTGTTCTCAGTAAATACTTGCTAGTTGGTTGAGTAGCATAGTAGAGCTGTCTTGAGTGCTGCAATCCACGTGCTCATCATGTGACTTACCTCTTACCAAGAGGYTTAAATGGGGAAAATGGAGAGTAGGTTCTGATGGGGGTTGCTCCACCTTGGTCCTGCTCTACCTCCTGTGCTTCTACCTTTGATCCCAGGCTTTTTCCATCCAAAGGATGGCTCTGGTTGWAGGGAAAAGAGCAGAGCACACACAGCTATTTTGTCCTCAAAGGGACTTTACAACTTTTATTAGTAAAGGGACCATTTCTCAAGGAAAATCTGTTGGAGCCATACATCTGAGGCTATAATGGCAGAGATACTCTGAGTGTGATGGAAAGTCATTTGAATGTTTGGACCGGCAGAATGACATGACCTCATTTACATTTCTGAAAGAGGGCTCAGCTTTGGCTAGATGACAGACTTGTTGGGAGGAGAGGCAGTTGGTAACATTAGAAGCAGGAAGATCAGTTAGGAATATCTTTGCAGAAATGGTGATAGCTTGGATTAAGTGTTGGGGCTAGTGAAGGTGACAAGTGGTCTGTTGAGGCATTTATGCATTTTTCTTTGTCTTTTAAGTTTATTCTAAAAATTTCAACAKCTTTATGAAAGTATAGCTGACATACAAAAGAAAGCAATTTCTTAAAAAAGAGAAAGTAATCTCTGTGTGTGTATGTGTGTTTAAAACAGACTTTTAAAATTCTACAATACAATTCAGTGGTCTTTAATATATTCACAGAGTTGTGCAGCCAACACTACTATCTACTTTTGGAATATTTCAATTACCCTAAAAGGAGCCATACCATTAAAAGAAACTCCCCATTTCCCTGTCCCTCTCTCCATAACCTCTAACTACCCCTAATCTGCTTCCTGTCTCTATCAATTGCTTATACTGGTCATTTCATATAAATGGAATCATACAATGCTTGGCTTTTTGTGACTGGCTTCCTTTACTGAACATAATGTTGTCAAACTTTATCTGTGTTGTAACACATCAATACTTCTTTCTTTTTTTATGACTGAATAATATTAAATTGTATAATATAATGCATTTTGTTTATCCATTCATCTGTTGATTGATATTCAAATTTTTCCACTTGTTGACTATTTTGAAAAACTCTTCTATGAATATTCATGTACAATTTTTTGTGTATATATGCTTCCAATTCTCATGGATATATATATATGGATATATATATATATG